ATTCTAAAAAATTACTCCTCAGAACCTGCAGAAGCAGTTTTCATTTTGAAACAGTTGCAATACAATTTTAATCTTTTTAATAGTAAGTTATATTTATATATTATCGATTTTGTCCCAAGGTTTCAAAGAACATCAAGAAGTCCAAAATTGAAACATTTGGGGTATTGAGACAGAAAGGATAAATCAAGAAAAAAGCACAAGTTTTAATGTACATACAGATGGGGATCGCGTGCAGAGCAAAGTACTATATTACGTACTTGTAGGTTGCTAAGAGAGTGATTCAAATGTTCTCATCACAAAAAATAGTATTTTTGAGATGTGGTAGAGTTGTTAACTAATCCTACTGTGGTAATAATTTTACAGTATATGTGTATCAAATCATTACATTGTAAACCTTGAACTCACACATCATTATAGTTCATCACTATATATCTCAATAAACCTGGAAAAAAGTTTTTGTTCTTAGGAAAAAAAAGTACATCTAAAGTATAAAATAGAAAGTTATTCTATTAATGTAAAGACCAATAAATGATTTTGATTGATCAAGACACAAGACAAACTGAAAAGATGATCTGAAAAGACAAACTTTCAATACTTTTTTATAGAAAGTTAAAATACTAATATTCCTTAAAAAAGATATTTTGCCATAAACAAATTCTGTTAGCACTAAATGCAATTCAAGCATATTCTGCACAGTAATTCTATTGTGAATAGAATTATATTTTGTTATTGTTTTAATATCTAAGTATCAAATTTACTAAAAGTGTAGTTAAAAGTGAACTAACACTAATTTAAAAATTTTAAACAAAATATAAGGTTTTTGGCAGAGGTTAGTTTCATGTAATAATAAAGTAAATTTCAGTTTTAAACTGCAAAATCAATATATGCTGAAGTTGGATGGTCATTTCTTCAGCTAATTATAAAATTACACTACAGTTAGTTTTAAAAGTGAAACCTAATTTTGAAATTCATTTACAGTCTGAGATTTTTAAACTCAAAGCACCAAATATGGAGAATTTAGAAATAGTGCATAATGGCATTAAATAAAACTACTTAAATTAATTTTTAAAAGTACCATATACACAAAAACTTAAATCAGGTAGACAAAAAATTATACCATTTAACAAACTTCATTAAGTAATTATCTATTACAAATAACCCAGGTCCACACTTCTGAATTAAAATTATAAAAATAAAACTAAAGCTTTGGATATAAATAGAAGTTGTCAGGTTTTTTTCTATATAACACTAAAGTTTAGAAAATGCCCTAAGACTGTAAAAAATATTTGAGGGTGTCTTGCTGTTTATGTAATCAAACAAGCTAAAATTTAATTTCAAAGTTGGTTATTTCTTTCCAAAGAGCTGGAAATAAGGAGTAGAATTAAAAATCTCTTCGAGTTTTTTTCATGTCTTAGCTACCAAAGAGACCATGGTTTTCGTGTGTGTGTGTGTGTGTGTGTGTGTGTGTGTGCACGCGCGCATGTGTGTGTGGTGTTTTCATAATTAAGATTGTGGTTGTTATGATATTATAATTAGCTATTCTTTGTTTTTGTGAATTTCAGAAATTACTATGCAATCTATAACAACTGTTAAGCTATTCGATAAACGCTTTAAATAATTAGAATTGTATGTTTATGAGCTCTTGTAAAAACTGGTATTTTAAAAGAAGAGTGCTATGCATTCATTACACAAAAGTCTCTAAGAATTTTGTTGGTTGCAGAAGCAAAAATAAAAATAAAAGCAGTATCAAAATAGGGTAGACATTTTCTGAAATGAATGTTTCCCACAAATCACATTTGTACTAAAGATCAGCCACTCCGAATCATTATTTATATAGCCTCCTGGCACAGTTCCATGGACTGTTATGCATCTCTACAGTGTTTCTGAACAGACTGACACATATTTTGTTTACTGACAGCGACTAAAAGCTCTATGTAGGATCATAAATAAAGAAGATCATGTTTAAAAATCACTAATATCATTTTAAAAGGTAGTGCAGGCTTGTGTTTTGGCCTCTGTTTAGCTGTGTTAGGCCTATGAATGACAGCTTCCCTGCTTGAAGCACACAGAAAGCACAGCCTTCCTCATTCACTGACAGGACTGTGGCCTTTTCACACGTTCCTTCCACAGCAGTGTTTGTCCCCAAACACTGGAACTCGACACAATGGCATTCCTACTTCAACACCCCCACCAACAGCACCACTACATAACAAGAATGCTAATGAGATGAAGCGGGCCCTGTCTCCGAAAGTGTTAACTGCATTTTATATAAACTCGTTTGTGCTACTTCAAAAATTACCAATTACATAGATTCTGCTTAGCTCTGAGCAATTTCTAAGATGTTTCCACTTTTAAGAAAATAAATGTGAAAATGTGTAATTGACTTTATGCTGTCCTAAATATATTGCATTTTATATACACGAATCCATATATATTTAAGACCACACAAATGGGCTTAATTCGGTTGCATGCTATAATAGCCAAGTTAAAGTTAAAACATGGCTAAGTTTATAAACATAAATACAGTACTTCTGGCTTTTCTTTTAAAGCTATAGTATAAGAGTTTACTTAGCAGAAATTTCCTGATTCTAAAACAGCAATTTAAAGTCTACTATCTTTTAACCCTAGCAAAACAAGATTGTTGTTTTCATATATGATCTCAGAAGTGGAATAAATGGGAATTATATTAAGTGTTCATATAACCTTAAAATTTATAGGCTTAGATTCATTAAGGGAAATCGGAACCATCATCCATCTCCATTTTCTCTATCTAGGGATTCCTTAACACAATCTTCTATAAAGCTAAATAGAAAAGGCTGTCCCTAAGGTCAAATGAAGTAAATGCAGTTCAAATAAAGTTCATTAATGCTGAGAGGAATATTTGCTAAGTCCACTGACAAAACTGTGGTCTGGCTTAACACTTCACCACTGATGATCTGATAATGGTCCTACTACAGTAACCTTTCTAAACTGCAAAATTTTAAAGTAAGTCATAACATAACAATACAAAAGAAAAGAGATTCAAGAATACATACAATTGAGAATATCTAAAAAAAAAAATAGAAATGTGCATGTAATGCATACTATGCAGATATCTATTTCTTTCCCCCCAGTTTTATATTTAAAAATACAATTTAAACAAATATCATACTAAAACTATTGAGTGCAAAGCTTTGTTATAACAACTTAGCGAAAGAAAGTTTATTTATGAATGGAAAAGAACCTAAGGTTTTAAATATTTCTAAATTTGGCATAATGTTGATAATATAGACAATTTCAGAGGTGCTAAAATGTTAATTTTGTCCATATTTACATTTAATATTTATTTTAATAAATATATTTTCATCAATTTTTAGTAGTAATGAAACCTTTACATTCAAAACAGCAAGTTTTAAAGCATTTTCTTACAATATACAGAAAACTTCTCAATCTCATAAAATGTTTATCTCTATTTAATTTTAAATATTGAGGATAGTGGAAGAAAAAGCATATGTATTTTCTGAGCTGTTTTTTTTAATATCTGACACTCTCGTTTTAATTAAATTTAGAAAATGTTTAAGTTCTTTTTAAGTTTGATGTAAACAGTGCTTTTCTTGCATTGGAGGATGGTCTCGTGCTTTCTTTAACATTAAATAATTTTAAACTGATTAATGAAATCAAACCACTTAATACCAAATAAGTGACTGTAATTAAATTGGTCAAATCCATTTTAAAATATGGTATAATAAAAGTTAAATAAACCTTAGTTAGAGTACTTTAATCTAAATACAATCAAATATATTTTACACTAGTTTTTATATATATCACCTTAACAAAGTATTAAAATTAAGATCAGATTTTTACTTTTTCATATTTATTATAATAAATAGTCTTATCCATTATAATTATTCATCTCATTTATGGAGTCGTTGAAATTTATTAACCAGGCAAACCAGTTGAATTTTGAGAATAAAAGTTTCTCACGGGAAGCTGTTTCTTGCTAGTTCTGGATACCTTAGTTCAAGAATTTCCTCCAATCAATACAAGTTGTTCTTTCCCCCACCAGACAGCAGGAGGTGCTGTGTGAACACTGCGACTGGATCTTATTCCCACCTCTCCTCCCCCTGTACACAGAGAATAATAGCATGATGCTTTCAAAATACTCATTTTTCAGCAGCCTGTGAGCTGAGAAAATGAGCCCAGTTCTAAACTGAAACCTCCCAGTTAGAAATGTAAAATCTGGCTCTTATTTAACATGGTAAAATGTATGCTTAACTTAAGATTAAATGCAAAAAGGATTCTAAAAATATGGCAACTCCATTTTTATTTTTTAATTGTCATCAATCATTCTGCTTTGTGACTTGAATTCTACTTTGAAATCAATCGGAGTCTCTGTAAATAGTTATAAAAATATCAAAGTCTTCACCCACACTCACAATTATGGAATGGGTATTTAGAAATTAGAGAAAATTTAACTTAAACTAATTCAAATACATTAATTCTATTTCTATATTTTTAGCTTCAGAAACATACAAATTAAATAAGCATAAAGGAGTTAAGTTATTCTTGACAAGACATTAATTTACAATTTTATTTCCCAGAATATAATTAGTAATATTTTAGGCCAACTTCTATAACAGCAATTCTAATTGCATACCAGAAGAGGGAAAAAAAAAAAAAAGGCTGAACATTTAAACCTTCAAATGATTTAGGAGCTATTCATTTTCTTATTTAAAGTAACTGGCTATAGAATTTCCACATAAGAAGTTGCCTTTGCTTTGCACAGTATGTAGCAAGAAAAGATGAGGCATATGACATCCCATACCAAAAGACAGATACAATTAGCCCCATTATTGCTGGCTTCGAGATTACAGAAGAAGCATTTTGGCTCCCTAACAGGCACTGAGCTCACAAAATACATGTCACAGTTCTTTTATGATACAATGCCAATCATTGCTTCTATACAATCAAGGACATTTTAAAACATGGAATTAAGCAGTTTTTAAAGAGGGATGACTCACCTGTTTACAGTATTTTTTTGCAGACTTTAAGCGTTGGTACAAGGCCAAAAGGACTCCTTGGATGTATACCTTAGCTCCTGAGGGGCTGAAACCTTCTCCCTTAGAGACCCAAACTGGTCCCCGCAAAGGTGTGATGGAATTTTGCAAGCATTTTTCAAGCAGAGGAACTATGCAAGAAAATAAGGGAAAATAAATTCTTTTGACCAGACAGAAATACACTGCCTGGAACACATAGCCCCAAGAGCAGAACTAACTCTTAACATCTGTTATTTATATCTGACCTAGGTTAAGTCTTAGAGAGGCAATTCCTGCCTAACTAGTGGCCAACATGAAGGATGTACTTATATTGAGACACCCCCATGCAAGACTCAAGCGTGTGAGCACACCTGAATAGTTCTGAAGTGTGCCTAACTAGCTGCACCGAGTGTCATGGTGTGCACTGATTGCCTTATCTTCTCATTTATCACAGATGAGTTGGAACCAACCTTGCTGAAATCTACTTGCATTGTCCTGATAAAATGGTAAGATCCATGTTGTTTCTGTGTACAGCTTCCCGTAGAGGAGTCTATATCCCTAAAACATCACATCTGGAAATTATTCATAAAACCTAATCCATACCTTTATAAGCCACCCTATTCAACTCCTCATTGCTATTGCTTAAATAACCCATAATACAAGGAGGCAAGGCTGTTTAAAAGTTAAAGGGAGACTATTAAGCCAGCAATTTATCATAGCTTTTTCTTTCTAAATTTGGGGTATAGAAGCTGGCAAAAGATTTGGGGAAGCTATTCCAGTATGTGCTTTGTAAACAGAAGATATTTACTTGTGGGTCTGTATTGCAACATCCATAAGGACATAACAGACATGTTTATACACTTTTTCACACGATTAGCTTATGAAGTCTTTCTAGTGTGAAATAGTCAAATAACATGGCAGCTAGCTAACATTTTTCAGGATTTAATTTCCCGCTAGAAAAGCAGAAATAAAGAAATAAAAAATATATTTTAGGCACATTTGGGAACCCAGAGAAATACACATATATTTTTTTCTTTTACTTGAACTTTACTGGTGTATACATGTTTATGCAACATAAAATAACTATATGGCTTGGCTTCCTTATTCTGATACATGTTTTTACTCAAAAAGAATTTGAATGGATCATCAGCAAAGAAGACAGGTCCATGCCATTGGTTACGTTATATGTTGCATATTTTATGCAGAGAGGCTGAGCTAGCAATCTGGAAATTGAATTACAATTAGGTTCAGCTGAGCTGCTGAGCAACTGAGTTATGCAAATGGCCTTTGCTACTGGGATTCTGCTGAATTTTGTTCTTAGAAAAATTCTGCATTTGATGACACTAAGTTCTGCAACTCTCTGCCAAGGTACGATTTAAATTCTTTCTGATATATTCAACACTAAACAGAACATTGGAAAAAGATTTTTCTAAAACTACTATAAATAAAGTTAAAAGGAAATTATGAGCCAATGACTATTGAGACATCTTCAGATATGAGCATGAAATTCACTTACCTAGCCTAACAATAAATTCCTAAAATCACATATTGAAACCACTTTATACTCTTAGAGCAACTGAATTTCTCTATAAATTTTATCAAAACAAATACCTCAAACTTTTAAAAATATATAAGATCACACATATTATTTAGAAATAAAAAGTAAAAGAGAAACTTATTTTCGGGATCATAACTTTAATCTTTCAAAAATGTATAATATAAATCCATCTTAATTCCAATTTTTCCTAAAGAAACCTAGCCTCAGAAATATCAGTGCTCAGAACTGCTACACATTCATATATTACTGCATATTATTAGATTTTAATTTATATACTTTTAATTGGTACAGTCATTGATCATAGCACAGTTTTGAGCATAGAAAGGCATACCTGAGTAGCTGTTAATTAAGTTAAACAAGAAATAGGTACAAACTTGAATAATTTACATCCTAGATTTAATATTGAATTTAAACCTGAGAAAATTTATCAGATTCTCTATTCTGTTAGCCTTATTCATCTATACTTGTCACAAAATAATTTATAAATTCTTTAAGTCAGATTCCAAAGAAAAAATTCATAGGTTTTCTAACACAAAACTGCTTTTTTCAGAATTCGAAACCTCCATAAGAATTTAAGAAAAAGAATACAGCTTAGAAAAAAACACACCACACAAATTATATCCAAATGCACGCTGTGTAAGAATTGATATCGGATGGGAAATAGCTCCCATGCTCCACATGATTTATATAATTAGGAATACTATGGAAACCAGAAACAGTAAAGCAAAGAAAGCAGTATTCACAAGCAGGTTTTATAAGGGACTTCAGAATCTGCTCTGAACTTGTTGAATGATCTGTTCAGTATTCCAGAATCTCCCGGCTGGAAGCAGGGTCCTCATTATAACCACGAGAGTGCTAATAAAGGTTAGCCTCTGAACTAGGGATTAGGAGGCTCTTTCTTTTTGGAAGCTGCAAACTAGTAACTTTGATGATCTTCTTGAAAAGGAAGACAAAGCACACTCCAAGAACAAACAATGTTTCCACTAACTAGGAAGGTACAGAAAACATAAGAAAATGATACGCCTAAGTACTTAGAAAGGAAGTATAAATCTTAATATACTGAAAAAATTTAAAAAATAAAATGTATTAACCATTTAAAGAACTCTCCATAAAAAATAAAAAAAAATTAAAAAAAGCATTGTCCTAACAGGATAGTTATAAAACATAATAAAAAATTTGCCTAACAGGATAGTTATAAAACATAATAGAAAATTAGATTTTAAAACTTTACTTTTCAACCCCAACTATAGTTTTTAAGGTAAGAATTATTTTTAAGCATTTTAATTGATATTTATATAATTCTATACCAAAGAAGACTCATGAGTGTTCTTAACCAATGATTTTATTTCTTTCACATGGAATTCTCCTTTACTCTGTTTCTAAAGCAAAAAATTTAATTCTGTTAAAGAAGACAGAAGATGATTGCATAAGGATTTGCAAGAAATAAGAGCAAGGGTTTAGAAAAAATAATTGAGAAGGCTAACCCCTATTTTGTAAAACTACTGTTTGAAATTCTCTGCTATTTAAATAGTCCCTTATTCTGTAAAATAACTTTGTTTTCTAGCTTGCTTAAATAATAAGGAAGATAAACTTAGCTGTCTGACCTTGTAGGCTAGAGACTAGATACACCCATACTCTCATGCTATGCCAGATATATTTTATAATTGGATAGAACTGTGTTGTTTTCAAGGACACAAGTTTCCAGCGAGATAACCACTAAGCAAACATAGGACTGGTGTTTTAATGAAAAGAAAAATTCTGCTTGTTGCTCTGCTTAGATTTGAATTCATTTTTTTCTAAGTCAACTGGTGTATATTAAAGTGACTCCAAACTCTCAAAGCATTGCTTAATTTTTTCCCAGTATTCTGCAACATTATCCTATCTAATAAAGAGGGAATATGATAATTGACTATCATGCCCTCACAAAGATGGAGGCATCACAGTCAATTAGAAGGGAATATGCTAATTGTTACCACACCTTCAAATATGGTGGTGCCCACAGACAGAAGATGGTGGCACCCAGTCTCCTGAGCCCCGCCAGGGCAACAAGCATGCAGCAAGGCTGGGCCCACCTACAGGTGGGTCCAGCCGCTCTGCACACCTGCTTTCAGAGTCCCCCAGTTCCCTCAGTCCCCCAGCTACCCAGAACTAGACCAAGGCACAAAAAGTCTCCAATGTCGGCTGCCCAGCAGCCCAGGGCCACCCGAGGCTCAGGTAACCAGGGCCAGCCGAGGCTTGTGCTTCCAGCAGTGGCAGCAGCAGAGGTGTGATGGGGCATTGCCTTCCCCTAATTGCTGGTTGCCTCCCTCCCCTACGAGTTCTTGGACTGTGATAGGGGGCAGGCCAGGCGGGGATTCGCCCCCCCCCCCCATTGCATGAATTTTCATGCACTGGGCCTCTGTCATAAATACTTTACAACCTTGGAAAGAGCGTAAACCTAGATGTTTCTATGGGCTAGCAAAACCTACAATATATACATAATGGAAAAAAAAGTCTTTCCCAGAAAATGAACACCAGGATATTATTTTGTGTATCCTGTCAAGCCATGAGGGTCTCCTTCAAACTGCTACTCAGAAATAATGCTTCATTCAAGAAGGTTAGCTGGCTCCTATTATCCTATGTTCCATCAAGATTGGTGTGCATAGCTACTTATAGCATTTCCCTTATGGTTGAAGTGGGTGTTCTCCCTATTTTCTCCCATTTACATGACTGTGACAAGAATTTTGCTTCTCTATAATTTCAATATTTTCATTAAGCAAATCCTTAACATTTTTATTAGATAAGTGGTTAGAAATGAACCACTCCTTAAATTTATTAACATGTATAGATCAGTCAAATGTGATCATTTCATTGAGATAATGTCTACCACTGGAAAGGTGAAAAGTTATATGGATGATCACTTTTTATACATTGTGTTTATACATTTATGCAATGCTACCACTATAGGGCACTTTGAAATTAACCTGATAGTTCCAAATGGTTTGGAGTTGAAATTGACAATGCTGGGTAAATAAAATCATGTGACCAAAAAGAGTAACTTCACTAGCTAGAGTTAGTACTGAGCATATTAGTTAAATAGATAATTTGATTAAAAGCAGTAGTTATGTCAATTTCATAACCATCAACCTATATTTTTCTCACTCATGATATTCTATTTCCTTTGCATTTCCTCCTCTCTTTTTTTCTACCTGTTAATATATTCTCATCCTTCAAGGCTCATAGAAAACGTTTTGTCCATGGCAAAACATCCCAAGAGCCCTAGCTAGTTTGTCTTAGTGGATAGAGCATATGCCTGCAGATGGAAGGGTCACAGGTTCGATTTCTGTCAAGGACACATGCCCAGGTCGCAGGCTCAATCTCCAGTAGCGGGTGTGCAGGATGTAGCTGATCAATGATTCCCTCTCATCATTGATGTTTCTATCTCTCTTTCCCTCCCCCTTTTTCTCTGAAATCAATATATGTATGTGTATGTATATATATATATATTTAAAAGTCCCAAGAACTTTAGGCACAATTAATTGCTACCCGATCTGATTCCCAGAGCTTTGTTTACACTTTTATTTTTCCCTTATTGATTTGTATTAGTCTTTACTT